CCCCTCCCTGAATACATCAGTCTTAATTTTGGCATCAGGCGAAGCGCTCCAGTATAAAATGGCTGAGAGCGTGGCTTTCCAGTGAAGCCTCATGTACTGGTGCAAGTGATGGTTCGTTTTTTTTCAGGGTGGTCGCTTCGTTGGATGTAAACGAATCGCCATGAGCGGCCGGTTGTCCAAGGAACTGCGCCAAGAGCAGACGGAACGAGGATCTGTGAAAGCGGACGTGCGCATACTTCTGGTTGGCGAACGTTCGTTTTTCTACCATTTTTTTTTTTTTTTCGCGCATTCGTAAGATCCTGTAACTGTGTCGTTTTCTGACGCCGGTTAAAGAAATTCATCGGTTCGCGCACTTCTAAATTTCCCTGAGAAATCGATGATTGCGAGTAGCTGCTGTTTTTTCACCACACACACACACACACACACACACACACACCTTTTTCCTGTATCCCCACATGTCTACGGCTACATCTGAGCTCCAGACGTCCCTCGTCCCGGTTTCTTGTTTCATCTTTCCGAGCAGATTTGTCCGACACATTCTTTCTTTTTTTTCTGCCGGTTCTCCAGCTTTCCATATTAGCTACGTCCCGTAATAAAAATATTTTAATGTTGGAAGAAGAAAAAGCCAGTGGTGTGTTAAGAAATTAATAAAACTTGAAATGCATTGTAAAATATTTTATAATGGTTAGAAATCTTTCGGTCCATTAAGTCGTATACATTTCTTACCATTACCACAATTGGGCCTCCTGTCATCACGACGATTGCGGCAACTAGTATGAATTTGAGTTTAATTTAAATAGTTATGTTGTTGAATGAGTAAAGTAAAGATAAAAGTTAAGTGGGTAAGTATGAAATAAAGTTGTAAAATTTTGTCGTAGAATAGGTGGTTGGTTGTAAGTTGCTTCCTTATGAAGATTTCCAACAGAAATTCATCTAAGGGCAACGGATTTTGAATGCTAAGATAGCTGCATTTGCGTTACGGGCTATGAGCATGGATCCGTCCATCATAAGCAGTTTGGATTTGAACAGAATGCTGGGGGTTCAGTGATAGGGATTTGGAATGAAATTAAAATTGCCTGGCAAATTTTATTCATAAAATGGTAAATTTTTACGGTTTTTTTTTTTTCGAGAAAACTGCCTAGATGCAAACGATAAATTTCTGCGAATTTTTTGAAGCGATTATCTACACAAACGGAGTGAGGAGCATATGCGACTACAGTGTGATTTTTTGGCTTTTTTTTGACTTTCTGAGCATCGCTAGCAATTTTTGACACCGATATTCCTCAACTGTTACAACAATTTCAGCTGGCGTCGGTAAATCCTCCCTGATAATGTCGTTGCTGAAGGATCGATTCTGTGAGAATGTCCCGGCCCGAGTCGACAACATCGTGATTCCAGCTGACGTGACTCCCGAAGGTGTTGTCACCTCGATTCATGATTTCTGCGGTTAGTTTGTATTTTCTACTCTGACTGCCTGTGAAAAGCATAGGGAAAGCGGGCCCAGTTTTTATCCATTGTTTCATCATCGGACGTTCGCCGATTTTTGATCATAGCGGAATTATTTGTGTGCCACATATGAGAAGAATAAAGGAAAGTGTGAGACGGCTTTGGGCAAAAAAACATCTTCTTTCGAAAGGATGACTGGACTTATGCTGTAAATCGCAAAAATAAAAGTTGAAAAAAATCCTCTTTTCCGTTTATTTCTTTATCTTTTTTTTGCATCTATGCAAAACAGAAAACGCATATTAACGAGGAGTTGTCTTTGTGTGCTTGTATGTGCGCTGTACGTCTGTACCGATTTTTCATCTCGAGACCTACAAAAGCTACAGAGCTGAAATTTTGGGATCTTAATCTACATGCGTGCACGAGCCCCCATCTCCAAATTGGACTCTCTTACCCGCGAGGTACCCACGTGCGGCCCCGCCAAAGTTTCTGGCGAACAAGCTGCTAACTCGGGAACCAGGAAAGCCAGAAAACTGGAATTTTAAGCAAATGTTCCGCGTCTACGTAGGTCTTAATGAGTTCCGACCCAGTCCTCAGGTATGCTTGGTACCCACGTACGGCCCCGCTGAAGTTTTTTTTTGGGTAAGTTGCTAATTCGGGAACCTGAGAAGCTATAAGACTGGAATTTTAACGAAATGTTCCGCGTCTACGTAGGTCTTAATGAGTTCCGACCCATTCCTCAGGTATGCTTGATACCCACGTACGGCCCCGCCAAACTTTTTTTCGAGCAAGTTGCTAACTCGGAAACCAGGGAAGCTAGAAAGCTAAAATTTTAAAGGGATGTTTTTAGGCAGCCCTGGTGGCCAGTCCTAATTCTCTTAGCTAGATGCATTTGCCGGAAAAACCGGTGCCAGTAGCGACAGAAAACTGCGGGGAACCATGCAAAAAACGTATTTTCG